ACATCTGTTTGTAATTAGCTGACGCTGGCTAAACATGTCACTGAGCATGAGGTACTAGGGCAAGGGGTCAGCACACGGGCTGCAGGAACTCCCCAGGGTCCCCGGCTCAAGTATGGAGCTGGGCCCGAACCTTCCATCCTCATCCACTCTGTGTGCACGGGGAGTCCAAGAGGGGTGCGGCGCGTGGCCTAGCCAGAGGCTTGCAGGCCATCTCATGGAGCATTCTACGGGCTGCAGAGAACGCTGACCTGGATGGAGGGCCTTTAGAGGTGGGGCAGCTCTGGAGGCAGTCACAAGGGTCAGCAGGAACAGGGGGCTGCCCACAGCACAGGCCCCCTCAGAGTCAGAGGACTTCGGGTCTGCCCCTGGAAGGCCCTACCTGCCTACTGGGGAGGTTTCCAGGCTTGGAGGGAGCCTGGGAACCAGGCACAGTCAGCAGGAGGGCCAGTGAGAAGCCAGCCCTGGCCAGGGGTCCTACACCCATCCACAGAGGGTCTGGGGCGGGGAGGTGATCCTGGCTAGAGGCAGAGAACAGGGAAAAGGAAGAAGACACCAGCATGGTTGTTCCAAGCCCTGGACCTTGGGTCCATTTGTGAACGCCGAGTCTGACTTGAAGCTGGGAGAGAACTGTCAGGAGAGCTCAGAAGCCCCACAATGTCACCACCCGACAGGGTCAAAGACATGCCCGATCTGGGCTCTCAGTGCTCGGTGGGCCCGGCTGGAGTGTGCCCTCTCTGTAACAGGGTGGTGGGTGACTGGGAGGCTGGGTGGCGGGAGCACTGCTCCTGCTGGGCCCACAGACACACACCTGCCCGTGCAGCCTTGTGCGAACGATTTAACCTTCCCAAGCCTCAGCCTCCTCATCTGGAAGGCAGCAGGGCTTCCCGCGTGTAGCTGTGTGACAGCTAAGGGGCGCCGCCTCACGAGGCATTGGTGCAGACGGCGTGCAGAACGGCAGGCCCAAGGCTGGCCGGGTGTCAGCCTCCAAACCCAAGTTGAAGGAACACTTCCCTGCCGACGCACCTCGCGTGGGAGAAATCAAGGCACAAAAGTGACGATGGCCAGCTCACAGCCACAAGGTGACGATGGCAGGGAGTGCCCTGGCCAGGCCCCTGACCCCCAGGCTCGGGCCTCGGCCTGAGTGTGCCTGCCCCCCACAACCCCTGCACCCGCTGTGGGAAATCCCTGCTCCGGCTCGTGACTACACAGGCACAGGCGGTAGCCTGGGAGCAAAGGGCACCCGCCCCACCAGGCCCTGGATGCCCTTTGGAATGCCCTTTATCAGTCACATGGCACTCAAGAACGAATGCTGTCCCCACAAATCACCTTTCTCTGTTGACAAAGGAGAATGTTTTATATTTAAAGTCACTTGGGGGTGCCTGGGTGGCTCAGTGGTTTAAGCCGCTGCATTCGGCTCAGGTCATGATCTCAGGGTCCTGGGATCGAGTCCCACATCGGGCTCTCTGCTCAGCAGGGAGTCTGCTTCTCTCCCTCTCTCTGCCTGCCTCTCTGTCTACTTGTGATCTCTCTCTGTCAAATAAATAAATAAAAATCTTTAAAAAAAAAAATAAATAAATAAAGTCACTTGGATTATGTGCACCTGGGTGGCTCAGTTAGTTAAACGACTGCCTTCAGCTCAGGTCATGATCCTGAAGCCTGGGTATCGAGTCCCGCATCAGGCTCCCTGCTTGGCAGAGTCTGCTTCTCCCTCTGACCCTCTCTCTTCTCATGTATGCTCTCTCTCTCTCTCAAATAAATAAAATCTTAAAAAAAAAAAAAAAAAGTCCCTCCAATTAGCACACCAGGGGAAGTGCAGCCTGACACCCCCACGGAGACCCCTTCTTCCTGGAGTAATTCTCAGGGGTCTCTTGCAGAGCCTGGCCTATATCCTGACTGCTCTGGGCCTACACAGCCCCTGCGTTATCTTTCCAGAAGGTATTTCCTGCACACATTAGGGACAACGGGAAAAAGGGGAAGAAGCCAGGAGGGGCCTCGCAGATAGGGTGGGAAATGGACATAAATGTAATTAACAACTCTAATGCAAAAGAACCTTCTGCTTCCAGGGAACAAGATCAGCAGACCACAGAAATGCACGCTGCCTGCCCAGGACCCGGGTTTTCTGCTGGCCCTATCTTGCTGAGAGGGAAACACCTGCTTTCCATGCTGTCAGCAAAGGGAGCAGACAGGCAAGCTGGCCGCAGAGCCTGGAACACACTGCCCTCCTCTGACTTCCTCTGCTGGACAGGGCAACACGGGACCTTTGCAAAGACTGGTGGGTGGGGCCTCCGAGCGGACGGCCACTCCTTTCCCTGTCCAGCTAGCGGCCACCTCCCTCGAAGACCACAGCTAGCACCGCGGAGCGGTAACGAGCGATGGTCTCTCTCCGGCTGATAAAACACTCACACCAAACATATTGCAGAGCAAATCCCAACTTAGTAATTTTTAGTAGAAGAAACCAAGACACCTTGGGTCCTGGAGGGAAAGAAACCGTCTAGTAAAATCAGTTTGATCTCGTTATTTCACAGAAGGAAGCCCTCCCCCAATCAGATTAAACCCCACTCCACCTTCCTGCCCACCATGGGGTGGGGGAGCAGCTGCCCCGGAACAGAGAGGGGCCACGTCTCATACCTGGAGGGGGGCAGAGACAAGCAGAGGAGAGCCCTGGCGTCCCCTGCTGGCTTCCTCCTCCGAGAATCTGCCACCTGCACAGACAACTTGAGGGTGGGGACCGCCCTGCACACCGCATGTCCCCCCAAACACCTCCCCCATTTCATGGACCCTATGTCCACAGATCCACCCCCCCCCCGACAGCCCAGGGAGGGGCCGCAGTGGTGCCCATCCCAGAGAGAGAAGGTCTGGACACCACTGCCCACCATTTGCCAACCAGGAAAGGAGGCCAGGGGCAGGGGGAGCATCCCAGCAGAGAGGGCCAGGGTGCCCAAAGCAAGACCGACACTCCCAACCCATCAGCCCGCTGGGCTCCCTGGACCCAGGCTGATGTGTCAAAGACACGCCCCCCCCAGCAGGCGCACGCCACAGCACTGGGGGAAAACAGTCGTCACGGGGGTCATAAGGGTCACAGGAACCCTGTGCCCTTTCCTGCAAATTCCTTAACTCCCAGCTCTGAAGGTCACAGTGAACACAGTCTGAGATGATAAGCCTCTTTTTGTGAGCTACGGTCCCTATCCCGGCCCCCATCCGAAGACCCGTGTGCATCAACTGACCCCTGGGCTGGGAGCGTTGTGCGCAGCCCAGAGGCGGCTTAGTTCTCTACCCCTTGGCCCCACTTATAAGCAGCCCCTCCGCCTACTCTTCCAGATCATTCTGAAGATACCACTATGGAGCCTCCAACGAGGTCCCTCTAGGATAACTCAGGCTGGAAGTAAACAGAGGATAAATCCCCCCTTGTGGGTCTTTCTCTTTAATGCTTACCAGGCATTTTCTTAAAACCAGCTTGGAACAAGAGCAGTAAGAAAGGAAAAACAGCCTTGCCCTTTTATTTTTAAAGTTTTCTCTTTTTTTTTTAAAGATTTTAATTATTTATTTGAGAGCAAGAGAGCAAGTGAGAGCACAAAGGTGGGGAAGGCAGAGGGAAGAGCAGACTCCCCGCTGAGCAGGGAGCCTGAAGCAGAACTCGGTCCTGGGATGGGTGGGGTGAGGGGGATCTCCACCTGAGCCAAAGGCAGACACTTAACTGACTGAGCCACCCAGGCACCCCGTATTATTTATTTAAGTAATCTCTAAACCCAATATAGGACTCGAACTCACAACCCTGAGATCAAGAGTGCCCCTCCGACTGAGCCAGCCAGGAGACCCTAGCCCTCGCCTTTTCAGAAGGGGTCCCAAAGCTGCTCCCTTGAACTCCCAGGACTGTCTTTCTCACCGGGGTGCAGAAGCTAAGAGCTTAAACCAGACTGAGAGAGCAGTTTCAGGGAGCTCTGAGGTAAGCCCTTACTGGCAGGGGCCCTCAGCCTGGATTAAAAAAAAGAGAAGCAAGGCTTCTCAGCACCAAGAACAGGGCCCCCACCCCCCTGGGAGCCACAGCAGACATAAACATCCCCCAAACACCAGGTTGCTGGCTTCAAATGCAAACCTGCTGAAGCTGGGCAGCTCAGAGGGGAAGGGCCATGGGGAAAGATTTGCAAGTAAACGATACACCAATCGGGTCGCTTCTCCCCCACCCCTGGTCTAAGCCCGATCTTTCCTTTCCCCATCTGCAGCTGTAGGCTCTGCTCCTGGCCTGCCCTCGTGCTCCTGCCAGAAAGCATTCAGGCCCCGAGGCTCCCTGCCCCTCCACAAAAAGGAGCAGCAGCAGAAACATAGCCCAGCTCAGGCTCATCCTGAACCCGATCTTCAGGAAAGCGCGGCAAAGTCGAGACAGGAGCTGACACAAGTGGGGGCCGGGTGCCCCAGCACTCGGCCCAAAAACCTTCCAGCGTGCACAGCCCCTGGGGAGGCTGCTGACTGCCAACCCCGGAGCAAACTAAACCCCTTTCCACGAGCCCCCAAAAGTTTAACAAACCCCTGCAGCTTCTCCTGTCGGCTGGAGTCAAGTGCTCGCTCACAGACCTGCTGGGCTTGCCAGGAATTCAGACGGCTTAGCCTTTACACCCCAACTAAGGTGAGGGAGCCCCAGGGGAGCAACGATACTGGCTGGGGAACCTGGAACCCGGACACAGAGTGATTTCCCATGACCTCACAGCCAGCCCAAGGTGCCATCTCGCCAGTCTGCCCATCTCCCAGCATGCCCCAGGGGCTGGAAAGCACAAGAGCCATGCGAGATTGGTTGTGCTTGCCCCTGGACAACTCTCTGTAACCTCCGCCCGGGGAGCCAAGGGAGAGAGCAGCTCCTGCCCCCTCAGGGCTCAGCATGCCGGGCAGATACCCGGCCAATGTCAGACGGGTTCTCACTTGGGCTGAAGGGACCTCAGGGGCAGCATCTGGTCCAGGTCCCAGACCGCAGATGGAAGGCACCCTGGGCTGTGTCAGAGCCTGTTTACCTCTGCTGATGCGCTGCTTCTCTCCAGACAGGATCCCGGGAGTGTCGATGATGCTGATGCTGTCCAGGACCGGGTTGGGCAGCTGGGCACACATGAACCTGCAGGGCAGCGAGAGCCAGAGGGGACATGTCAAGACTCAGCTCTCACTGCTCTAAAAGTGACAGGGGGCTTTCTGTGCACCCTCCTCTCCACCTCTGCCTTCTTTTCCCAAACCAAGGAGTTTAAAGGAGTTTCTTGTGTTTCCGGGGTGGCCATTGAACTCTGTATTGTCTTTTTTAAAAAAGATTTTATTTTATTTTATTTTATTTTATGAAAGTGCGAGTGAAAGCGCACGAGCAGCGGGGAGGAGCAGAGGGAGAGGGAGAGAGAGAACCAGACTCCCTGCTGGGCGGGGAGCCCCAGGCAGGGCCTGATCCCAGGACCCTGAGATCATGACCCTGAGCTTAACTGACTGAGCCACCCAGGAGCCCCTCAACTCTGTAGTGTCTAAACTGAGAACCCAACCAGCAGCTCAATCTGGCCTGCCTCAGCATTTCCCTCACATTAGCTTTTCCCCCAGGGTTCAAGAGTTCAGCTTTCAAGTTGCTGATGTGTTAGTGCAAACCGCACGAGCCTAAGTCACCATTCCATTCCAGAAGGGAAACATAAAGGTGACAGTAGAAGTTAGTAAATTTCCTCACACCCCGAAGTGGGGGAGAGGCTTCCTTACTGCTGCTGGGACCAGTCTACCCCCTCCACCCAGCTGCTTGGATGAAGGGATGGCAGGGGGCGGCCAGTAAAAGCTGGGGGATGCGTGGGCTGGTTGGCGGGACAGGGAGTCTGGACCCCATTCTCTGAAAGCTGGAGCAGGCCGGAGGAGGGACAAATTTAAGCCACAGAGAGGCTGGCAACTCCTGGGCCAGGGCTTAACCGTGTGTGCCCAAGTTCCCACTAAGCGTAGAACAGCCCAGAACAGCAAGGGGCTGTCCCAACTGATAGCAGAGATTCTTCACTGGCCACAGAAAAAGCTCCTTTAAAAACCTCTGAAAAAGACATTGTGAGCAAAGAAAATACTGACCCTTTGTCTGTAGGATGCAGGCTTAAAGCTGCCTTTCCAACTGTGGGGAGGAATCCGAGCTGATAAGGTTCTCGGTTTCGCCCTCCCCCCTCCCACCCCCAAAGGGACCAGTGGCCAGGCCTGGGGCAGACTGCCAGGGCGAGGGGTGGTGTCTGCAGGCACAGTGGGGCAGAACCTGCTGACCCTCAGACCTTGGACCCGGTGATTCCCCCTGCCAGCAGCAGCGCACGCCCTGATTATCGGTGCGCCAGCCCTGGGGATCCTGCGGGGAAGGGTCAAGGAGAGAAGCCCCAATTAAAAGAACCAAAAGTAGAACTGGGGGGAGTCGTGACAATACACAGCACCGCCTTGTAAAGGAGACCTGTGAGTAAGGGAATGGGTAAGACCCGGAAGTGAGATGCCCCTCGGAGCCCTGGGAGCCTGGCGGGAAACAGGAAAGGGAGCAAGCAGTACAGACACAGAGGCTTCATCTCCCACCAGCAAGGACACACCGGCGGCATCTCACCCCACAAGTGGCTGGTGGCAGCCACACAGTGAGTTTTCAGAGGCTGCTCTTAGGACACCTTTGCCTGCAGCCCGCCTTGGTCTGCTCCGTTGGATTTTAGTCTTAGAGCAGACACTTAAAGGTGAAAAGGACAGAAAGTCAAGTTCATGACTCAATAGGTCTCTTTAAGCTGCTGGGAGAGGCTGTGTCAGCCAGAGAAGAGCCCCCTTTGTATGCCCTGGCTGGCGGGCTGGCAGGCTGGCGGTCCGTGCACTCCACAAGCTGACACAGCTTGGGGCCTCTGCTCCAGCGCAAACCCGTGCCCCACCCCCGCCCCACCCCTGGGCTGATAAGGCCACTTAGTGATCAAGAACCCTCTGGAGATGAAGTGGCAAGAGGAAAATAAGGGGCGCCTGGCTGGCTCCGTGAGCAAAGCCTGAGACTCAATCACAGGGGCAGGGGTTCAATCCCATATTAGGTGTGGCGCCTACTTTAAAAAAAAATTTTAAAAAAAGGGAAATCAAAGTGTGGTTCTTGAATCCTGAGGCACCAACATCATCAGAGTATCTGTCCTGGACCCAGCATCCCTGACCTGTGCCTTTTTTCCCAGGCAGAAGCAGCAGTAGGCGGTGACCGGACACATGAAGGCCAGTCAGCCAGTTGGCCCTACAGTTAGCTGCACTGGTGAGCTCAGCAAATCAGCAGAGACCTCTGAGCCGGCACCGAGATTGGGGGTGGGGGTGTGTGCCCAGATGAATCTACAATCTCGTCTGACCGAAATTTTAGGTCTCCAACTTCAGAAACATGTCGCATACTCCATTTCTCCTTTCAAAAGCTGTCTGCTCTCACAATCAGAAGTGGAGGCCCAAGGACAGAAGGTGCACCACCCCTCCTTCTAGCTTCCCATAGTTGTATGTGAAAGTCAAGACCTAATAATGCTTGGAATTCCCAGCACAGCAGCCAAACTATGCACAACGCCGTCTGGTGCCCACCAGCTAACAGTCCCGGCCAATTGCGGGTCCACCGGCACAGTAATTCCGGGACACAGGGATTCTCCGGAGGAAGGCTCAAGGTGAAGAGGGCCGTGCCTCTCACTCAAAGGGCTCTACACAGCTCCGGCCGTGACACACAAACGCCAACAGCCATAAAACAGGAGGCCGGACTTAAACGCCCGAAAGGGACAAAACAACTTAATACGAGTCTGCCTGTCTTCTCAAAGTCAGCTCTGTACAGAGAGGTAGGCTGGCCATTGGCCTGGATCGGGAGCAAGGTGGTTCACCCTGTGCGGCTGGACAGTGTCTGGAAAGGAATGTGATCACACAGGGTGGAGACCTGGAAGGCAAGAGTCAAGGATTCTTTCCTAGGCTCTTCCCTGACACACACTTTGAAAGGCATGTGCAGTCACTCCTTGAATGGGGGGTGGCAGGAAAGGCAGATCTGTGAAGTCCTTTGGTATGTCCCTGGGGGTAGGGGTGGGGACGGGGAGGTTAGAACCACTGACAAGCGCCTTTGAGTTCCTTTAGAGAAGAGTGAACTTGGCTGTTGGACACCACAGAAACATCAATGTGTTTCCTTCCCAGCAGCATGACGGTTAGACTCTTGGAGGATGACCTGTATCACGAAGAAGCAAGATTTCCCCTGTCTAACTGGGGAAACTGAGGCCCAAACAGGTTAAGGTACCTTCTAGTGAGGGAGTCAGGGCCGGGATCTCATTCCCGGGCTCCCAGTGCTATCGACAGGCTGCTTCCTGAAACCCCTAAGAGAGCACAGGCCCTGTGGAGCTGCCCCCGAGGGGGAGTGTTCACACTCCATCTGTCTGCTACCTCGTGGGCGGCCCCCAAACTCAGCAGGCCACAGCAGATCCTCCTTGTCCCTCCCACACAAAACCAGCGGTCCCCAGGGAAGCACAGCACAGCAGCAAAGGGAATGACTAAAAGTTTCACATATTTTTCCAGGACGCTTAGGCAGCAGTCACTTGAAGGGAGGAGGACAGGGACTGGTTTGAATGAATTCGTTGCATCCAGCCTGGGACTAACTACACTGGGAGGAGGTGGAGACAAGAATCTCTCACCTTCCCAACTCTGACCCCGGTTCTGAGGAAAGTGGGGCTGGGACCTGCGGGACGGTGCGGGAGTTAAACTGATAACCTGGAAAATTCTGGGGTGACCGAAGCGGGGGAGGGGGCGGCGATACCCACCGCCAGACCTCCGGGTGGGTTTCTGGTGCGAAGTGGCAGGGGCCCCTGTCCCAGGGAGCGGTCGCAGAGGGGCTCGCTGGGGCCTCGGAGACAAAGGACGATGGGGTGGGGGCGGGCCACGACCACATTACGGCCGGGACCCGAGTGCGGGCCCCCCCCCGGGGGTCCCCCACCGCCCCCCTCTCCCTGGCGCCAGGGGCGGGTACCTGTTGAGGAAGGCGTTGCCGAAGGCGTTGAGCTTGCGGAAGGGACGCCGCGGGTCGACAACCAGCGCGTTGCCCGGCACCACGCCCTCGGTGGGGCCGTGCATGACCGCGATAAAGGAGTCGGTGGTGGGCTCGGGCCCGATGCGCATTCCCGGGAAGTCCTGCTCGATCAGGTGCCGGATGAAGGTGGTCTTGCCCGTGCTGTACTGGCCCACAAGGAGCACCATGGGCTTGTTGTCGAAGTCAGCGTCCTCCAGCGCGGGCGAGTGGAACTCGTGGAAGCGGTAGTGCTCCTCCAGGGGCAGCAGCTTCTGCGCATACAGCTGCCGCAGCCCCTCGGCCACCGTCTGGAAGAGCTCCGGCTCCTTCTTGCGGCGGGCATCTTTGCTGACCCAGCTAAACATGCTGGCGGGGACGGGGCTGGCTGCTGCGGGGCAGAGCGGCGGCTGAGAGCGGGGAGAGGGCGCGGAGCCGAGGCGGGGCCCGGCCGGCCGGCGGAGGGGCGGCGGGGCAGGGGGCGGGGAGCGGCCTGTACTGCGCAGGCGCACGGCACGGCCCGCGGAGCGCCCTCTGCGGAGTGGAGCGCGCGCCTCGCCGAGCCGCCTTTATAGGGCCGGGCCCCATGTTCGGGCGCGCGCGCCGCCGCCGCCGCGGCCACCGCCGCAGCGCTGAGCCGCGGGGAAAAGGGCAGAGGAGGAAGGAGCCCCGCCCGCGAACTCCGCGCCACGTCCTCCCCTCCCCCGCCTCCCATTGGCCAATTCCAAATATCGCGAGCGCCGCTCGCTCTGCTCCCCGCCCCTGGCCCGGCTGCCGTGGCAACCGCACCTGTTTTCGCCCCTCCCTCGGTGGGGCCGCGCGCGCTAGTGCTGCGGTTGGGACGGCGGGAAGCGAGAGTCCCGCGCGAAGAGGTCCCGGAGCCTACGCCTTCGAACGTCCGCGAGACGCTCAGTTAGACACCCAGCTCCCCGGCTGCGCGGCCCACCCGCAGTTCCCCCACGAACGGTCCTCCCTCCCCCGCTGGCTCGGAATCCCCGGAAGTATCGACGGACCCCAGGGGAAGTGGGGGGCCAGTGCCTCCCGTCAGAGCAGCCCTTCCCCGCCGCCCCCCCGCTCCTGCTTCCCTGATACTACTTCGCACCCTTCTTGATCTGCTTTGGGAGAGGGAGAGAGAGATGTGGTAGAGGAGGCCGGCTGGTGACGAGGGAAAGAAGAATGGGGAGGGAGTCAGAGGTCCCTGGGGAAGATCCGACCGGCAGCAAGACGCCTGAGCTCCCCACAGGCCGGTGGCGCTGGGGCTTGGAAGAGGGCCGCGGCAGTGGAAGACACAAAGGACATTGGACATGGGGGAGACGAGATGGCCTCTCTGAAGAGGCTGCCTCTGCGGGAGGAGGGGTCGGGGTACAAAGGAAGTTGAGGCCCTCTGGCCCGAGTTTTGAGGAAGTGAAATCGGAAATTCCCTATGTGGGGAGGAGGGGAAATGTGGGGCAACAATGAAATCTTGTGGGAAACTTAGGGGAAATTAAAAAAACCCAAATACTTCTGCTTTCCTCTCAGGGTCACTAACAGTTACCCTCTTTTACCTCTGACCCGTTGCCCGCCCCCCCCCCCCCCCCCCCCCCCCCCCCCCCCCCCGCCACCTTACCAGTTCCTGGCTGTTCCATTACGCTCATTCCCCCGCCATCATTCCTGGCCATACATCGGCCCCCTTGGCTGGCCAGGCTGGTGAGAATCTTCAGCGGGTGATGTCAGAGCTTTGGGGATTGTGATTGTTAGGTAACCGGTATCCGGACACCTAACGGGGGAGGGGGGGGGTGGCACAGCCGGGAGGGGGGGGCCGTTGGGGGGACTCCTAGGTAGATCTGAAATGCATGCAAGAGCTTGAAGACCTCATGTTCAACCTTCTGGCTTCTGGGAGGTGTGGAACGGAGGCAGGAACTCAAATCTGAGAATGAGCAGAGTTCTTAAGCGGGCTGGGTCAAGTGGGAGCCAGAGAGGGCAAAAGTGCAGGGGAGGGGAGGCCTCGGTGTCTTCTGAAGAAAGAAAATGTTCCCTCCATTGCCTTCCCCTCCCCTCCTTTGCCTCCCTAACCATTGGAGAGTCCTGTCTGTGCTCTCAAGCCCATGACTTTTTTTTGCTTTTATTTGGGGTTTCATTAGCATTCTTTTCATCAATACCAGTAAACCAGAAGCCACAAGACTCTCTTCTTGGTGGCCTGCTCAAAAGAACATATTGAGAACTCCTAAGCAGGGCTGTCACCAGAGGCTGTGTGCCAGCTGGTGATGGGGAGCCTTGGGTGGGCCCAGTCCAGACTTCCTGGGCCAGCCTTAGAAGCCAAAGGACTTGCCTCCTCCATGGCGCTTTGAGGGGTCCACCCCGGAGATGCAGTTTCTGGACTGTTCCAGGGAAGGGCTCGGGGCTGAGGCTCCTGAAAGAGGCGGTTGTTCAGTGGCCTGAATGAGGCTCCAAGAAGGCCCCTCTCGGCAACATTCACACTGACCCGCCAGGGTCCTCACATCTCCCCAGAGTCCTCTATGCTGGGAATAGCCAGCCCAATAAAACTGAAAACAACAAAATGTTCCTGGGTTATTTATACATGAGACTCCAGCCCCCTGTTTGTTCTATACGGCCCTTGACTTTCTCCAAGGAACACAAAGGACTGGAAGAAGGGGTCTCTCCCTCAGTGGGGCTCAAGGGGGGCAGAAATTAGTTTCCCGAAATTCATGGAGTTGGCACTTGGATCCTGGGGAGCTTCCTGAGCTAGTAATTCCCAGATTGTGAAAATGTCCTAACTCTCTTTTTGTAGTCGGAGCTGGGTAGATTCTATTCGGTGGGAGTTTTGTAAATCATTAAGTGAAACATTTCACTTTTGGTTTCTCTGTTTCACTTTCTGTCTTTGCCCAGGGCTGTGACAAAAGACTAAGGAAGAGTTCAACTATTTTCCTTTTTCGTGGAAATGAGGAAATGTGGAAATGAGGCCCATCCCCAACTCCTAGTGTTTCCTTCTTTCAAATTCACAAACACACACCTGCCCAATCAGGCCTTGTTCTCTAGGTCTCCCCAGAGAAAAGGCTTATCTGCTTCCCCTGGAGGTGATCTGCTCTGTCCCATAATGGCCTGGTCTGCAGAAGATTCTATGTACAAGGCCCCTAAAAACAACTTAAAAAAAGAGAAAAGAAAAGCAGACTTTTGTCCAAATATGGCAGAAGAGTCAGGCCGGGGGGAAAAAACCAAAAACACATAGATTTGTTCCTGGAAGAGTGGTTCATTCTTCCTACCGAGAAAGTCTGTGTAGAAATAGCTTTTCTTGGAGTCAGGAGGAACAGATTTGGCCAACGGGTGAGTTTTGTCAAATCAAGGTAAAGAACGGGGGAGGTCTGTTCCTCTGCAGTCTGGGGTGTCCAGCACCAGTCACGAGGGCATCCTCTGTACCCCGCGAATCCTCTCGAAGGCGTACGGCAGTGCACGCGGCCATGGTGCTAGGGTCCCAGCAACAGTTGCTGCACTCCAGGGACCTCTGAAGGTATCCAGTGGCTGGGACAGGCCCAGCTTGGAGGTGACACAGAGTGTCAGGGCTGCTCAGGATCTCTGCTTTCTGATCTCAGTGACAAGAGCCCAAGGCCCAGGGATGGTGAGTGCCCGGCCTGGAGTCACTCAGGCCAAATAAGAAGCTGGGCCTTTGGAATCTTAACACGGCCCTCTCCACACTCACATCTTTTTTTTTTTTTTTTTAAAGATTTTATTCATTTATTTGACAGAGAGAGATCACAAGTAGACAGAGAGGCAGGCAGACAGATAGAGAGAGAGAGAGAAGCAGGCCCCCCGCCGAGCAGAGAGCCCGACGCGGGACTCGATCCCAGGACCCCGAGATCATGACCCGAGCCGAAGGCAGCGGCCCAACCCACTGAGCCACCCAGGCGCCCCTCCACACTCACATCTTGAAGTTGCAAGGTCAGGGTCGGGCCGGTGGCCACACAGTGGGAGAGAGTTTCCAGAACCTTCTTTCCAAGTGCAGGCTGGGGTGAACTCCGCCTGTGAGCTCTGCAACCCCGGGGCCCCAGCCTGCAGGTTGAGCAGGGTGCTGTGGGTACAGAACCCGGTAGTGCTTTGCGGAGCCGAGCCCCAGAAACCTCTGAGCGCTTGTGGTAGACACTCCACCCGCTGCTGGGCTCCCAGCACCCCCATCCTGCGGGGGCCCCCAAGCCAGGAGCTGCAGCTGAGCCCAGAGCACTATGTTAACTCTAAGCCCCCCAGGAGGGAAGAGGCTGAGGTCAGTGGGAGCCACGGAGGACGTGAGGAGGCCATCGGCCACTTAGGAAGCTGCCAGGGCTGGTGGGAAAGATTGGGAGGTTTGGCCTCAGCAACCAGAGGGGACACCTGAGGGGCTCAGATGTTGCTGCACAAGCGGCCACAGGTGTAGCCCCACCCGTGTGAGCACAGGCCACTGCCCCACCTCGAGTCCCCTCCAGGCATGCTTTTCTGCGCCAGCCGACTCTCCCTCACCATAGCCTTGAGGCCCTGTTCCCCCATGGCATGGGGTGGGGGCTACCCTGAGCCTCCCCATGCGCCCCACAGGCTGGGGGCTGGACAGCGATTCTGTGCCCAGCAGGGTGTCACACATGTCTACCCAGGCACAAGCCAGCTCCTCTGGGCTCTACACCTGCCTCCCACCACCCACACCTCTGTGAGGGCCAGACACTGTGCCCAAAGCCACCCTCCGGGCCCGTCTGCTGACCTACAGCTCCCTCTCCTTCCTCCTCTCGGTCTCCCTGAAAGTCCCACTGAGCTGGGTGGTCCATGCCGCTGCCCCAGGTGACCTACTCTGCCAAGACTCAGTCTCTCACTTCCCTTTTGGCCCAGCTGGAACATTCCTCTGACCTGTGTCTTCTTCATCCTGCCCTAAGTACGGGCAACGAAAATGGGCCATCTGAAAAGGGACTGGGATCTGGGGAGAAGAGAGGACCCAGGCCTGCAGAGACACAGGCTGGGACTCATCCAAGGGCAGGGATGGCAGGACCCTTCCCAGAGCTGACGTCGAACCCATGTTTGCTATTCAGCTAGCCTGGCCTCGGGCCCCTTGGGTTCCAAGACCTCACCCTGAGACACCCCATCACTGTCTGCTAGTCATGATAGGCAGAATTCTGAGCTGTACCCAACGTTTCCCACTCTGGTGTACACACCGGGTATAGATCCTGCGGTTGTGACTGTGATGGGTTTACTCTGTGATAGGTCACATTCAGTGGCACAGTTGACCTTATTCATTTACGGATTTATTTTAAAGATTTTATCTATTTATTTGAGAGAGAGAGAGAGCTTGTGTGCATAAGAAGGGGGGAGGGACAGAAGGAGAGGGAAAGGCAGACTACATGCTGAGCAGGGAGCCGGACCCAGGGCTCGATCCCATGATCCAGCGATCGTGACCTGAGCCAAAGGCAGACCCTCAGCCAACTGAGCCACCCAGGCGTCCCCGCAGTTGGCTTTAGAT